ATATTTATTATTATATTGATTATATTGCTTACTATAGTTAGATACTATGCTCAGCACTTTGATACACTTCTTTTCTATTTTTAGTCTTTGCTATAGGATGTGTGTGCTCACCAGAGAGAGAGGGAGAGAGAGAGAGGGAGAGAGAGAGAGAAAGAGAGAGAGAGAGAAAGTGAGAAATCACTCCCCTTTCTCCAGGGAGGATGGCCATACCCAAATCCCTTCTCCTCCACCCCCCGCGTGTGATTTTGGGCACACATGCCACTTGCACAGCATGATTCTCAAGCTGCTGCGTCCAGGACTTGAACTGTGAAGCTAGCCATGTGGGATCTAGCACCTTAATCCTCACACTACCTACTTGATACACGTCTGTTTTCATTTAAACCTCACAATATCAATACGAGGTAGATACTCCTATTATCCTTTATTACAGATAAGAAAACTAAGACTGGCAAAGTTTCCATAGTTTCCCAGAGTCACACAGTTTAAAGCCAGTGCAGGGCCAGGTGGTGGCGCGGCCTAACACAACTGGAAGCGTGTGGGGAAGGAGCAGGGCTCACAGCCACGATCTCCCTGAGCACCTCGATGATCTGGGCGATCTAACACTGGGGGTGGGTCATGGCATGAAGACTCTTGGGGTGCCTGCGTGTCTCTCTCTTCCTCTCTCTATCGCATGGGTGAAGTGAATAAACCTTAAAAATAAAGTAAAATAAAACCAGTGGAGACAGACATTGGCTTAGCCCAGTCTGACTCCAGGACAATGCTGTTCTCTCTCGGCTGAAGGGGAAATAAGGAAGAAGAGGAGGAGGAAGAATGCGAATACTTAGCAAGTCTTTTCTCTATTCAGTGCTGTGCCAAGCTCGTCCTCCCTTCCTGGAGGCTTACCTCTCTCTGCCCTGAAGCAAGTCCACAGGATAAATAGGAGGAACACTGGACTGGGACCCCAGAAGGCGGTAGAGTTGCCTGTCAGATCTCTATCTGCCTCACAGGATTGAGGCTCTAACGAGATGGGGAAAGGGGCTTTGAAGGTCGTGCACCCGATTTCCCAGAAGGCGACGTGCCTTGCAGGTTGGCCCAAGCAAAGCCAGGGTAGGAAGGCACCTCTGTTAAGTCATGGGGGCCACACAGACCCTGAGGCCATAACAGGAGCCTGCATTCCTTCCTGGGCTCCATATACCTTTACTCAGAAGATGAGGGCTGCCTGAGTTCAAGGCCACACAGGGTGACTTTTTGTTGGTTCTTTTTTTTTTTTTTTTTTTTTTTTGCCAAAGGGGCCGGGGGGTGCTTTTTTTGGGTTCTTTTTTTTTTTTTTTTTTTGCCAAAGGGCTCCTGTACTCACCAGAGACAGAGAGAGGGAAAGTGAGAAGTCCCTCCCCACCAAAAGAGGATGGCCATGCCGCAATCCCTTCTCTTCCATTCTCCTCTTGGGCTTTTGGGCACACGTGCACACATGACTGGCACGATTTTCAAGCTGCCGGGTCCAAGGCTCAAACAATGGTCAGCTATGTGGGCATCCAGCACCTTAACCACCTCGCCACCTGCTGGCCCCGGGAGTGAGTTTAAGGGGCTAACTCCTCTACAGTCACCTTCTCCCGTGGCCTGATGCTGGTCTTACCAGCTTGCCCACTCCCTTGTATCGCTGGTGGAAGTGAGTCCCTGCAGTGTCTGGGACCTAATTCGCCCTGCACTGCTTGCCTGTGAGATGGTAAAAGCCCAGGAGGAGATCTTCTAGGCATGAGAAGGGTCCCCTGGTTTTACACAACCAGGACGATGGAGCATTGAGTGCTGATTTCCAATAATCCGTAGCTCTTCCTTTCCTGATCACAGCTCCAGGGGAACAACAGCTGGGGTCACGTGGAGAAGCAATGGGCCTCCCCTCCCCCCACCCCGCTTTCCATTTATGAATTCAGTTTTTTTGTCAGGCTGAACATGTAAATGCACTCTATGCTCTCTGAATTCCCCCCATCTCCCCCTCTTCTCATTTAAATTCTAATTATTACCAGAGCAAGGAAGATGTATGAGCAAAAGCAAAGGCAAAGCCCTAGAAGTACCTTTTGTTTTAAGGTGACTCCTGTTGTGGAGAAGGCTTCCAGAACAGCTGTTACCGCGAGCCCGTGTGAAGGGACCACAATGGCCAGATACCGAGAATAAGGACACGCGTAGCTGTAGCAGCTTTCCTGGTGAGTCCAGTGGGACAGGCTCTGAAAAACAGCCTCCGCACCTGGTAGATCATGAACCTGTATCAGGAAATACAAGTTTTGATTTAATGTCTCCAATATATGTTTATTTGTTCCCCCGTTATATACATGTTCTGCAGTTATTACGGAGCCAGACTGGCTGGGCTGGCACCCGGTGCTAACACTGCCTAGCTCTGTGACCTGGACAACCTAGTTCACCCTCGGTGTCTCAGTTTCCATAACTGCAAATGCGGGTAATACCTATTTCACTGGAGAGGATTAAGTGAGTGAATACGAAAAGCACTTTGAACCTTGATCATGATCATGTTGAATAAATGGGGTAAATCCAGTAATAAAATGTGAATGTTATTATCAATCTGTACGTTAGAGAGTTGATTCTTCTAATATTTAGGATAATAAATACATACTTAAATGATCTGACATTGTTTTCTCTGTGCCCCACAAAGTGCAGGCACCTGATGCTGGAGACCCTTAGTCAAGAAGTGGCTTAGCGTCAGCTCTCTTGGTTCCTGGCAATCTCTAAGTGAAGGAGTAAGCCCAGTTCCTGGAGCCAGGAAAAGGCTTCAGTGTCTTTGTGCAGGGCCTGGGTGTGGGGGTCGGGGGGGAGGTCCTGCATATCTCAGAACTTGAGAATTCTTTGCTGTTATATCCTGTTTGTGGAGGTAATAGCTTATCCCAGCAAGGAACCTGCAGTGAGGGAGTTGGAATGTAGTGCTGGCCCCCCAGAGAGATCAACTGATGTTGTCACCTCCTTCTCAGATCTCTCTGGACAGGGGACAGCTTTCCCTGCACCTGTGTGCTATAAGGGTACACTGGACCTTCCCAGGGAGGACTTCAGTATCTCTGTACCCCAAGCCCAGCTCCGAACCTGGCACATGGCAAGTGCTCAGTAAATGTTGGTTGAACTTGATTGAAATGAGATCATCACAGCCCTTTTACTTGCTGTTTGTTCATTCACTCATTCATTCCCATGTGCCAGTTTCAATGTGAGGCCCTGAGTCAGGCCACTATGACAGTGTCATGTAGCCTGCAGAGGGCTGCAGTCTGGCTGGGGACAAGCAGGCTGGGCAGTGGGCATCTGGACCCGGACTCTGCATCTGACAACCCGTGACGCCAGGCAAGTCCCTCCTCCAGACACCGTTCCCATCTGGAAAAGCACAGCCTGGCCTTAGTACTTGTGGGTCACTTCTTACTTTAAATCCTAGGATATATCAGGTCATCGGAAAAATCATGACATATTTTTCTGTTTTGCTATGCAAAATGCGATGACCCAATATAAGGCATGGGGGTGGGCTAATTCAGGGACTGCAAACTCACAGCCTGCTGGGGCCAGGCAGGGACCAAGGCGTGGAGGGTTGTGCCATAAGAATGCACCCTACTCAGGGGGTCGCTGGTTCCCACCATGCGGGGCACCCATCCAGTTATCAAGGCATCAGCCTTTTCCAGAAAAGCCATATATCTGGGATGATAATAATAACACTTCTTAACGTTTTAATCACTATGCAAGCCAGAGGAAACTCTTCTGTGGGTTTGTCCACAAGTAGCCTTTTGTAAACTCCGCCGGGTGTACCATTGGTTCAGAGCCGACTTCGCTACTCGGAGCAAGAAGAGGCTTGGGCTCAAATATTCATTCCCAGATTTGGGGAGGGATGATGGGAGGTCTGCTTAATAATTTCTCAAAAAGGGAGTATCCCTCACAGCTCTTCTGGGATCCCATTGGACGGGGTGGGGTGGGGTGGGGTAGTGAGTACCTGCCTTAAAATCAACCGTAACATTCAAAAATGCCAGTTTTACAGCAAAGCTCTCAAGTAGCCACAGAAATGGAAAAGGACACCTATAGAAACGTTTGCATTTAGCTCCCCCCCCATGTGTATGAATTTATGCTCCCATACACATGCACGAGAGAGAGAGAGAGAGAAAGAAAGAAAGAGAGAGAGAGGCGCCTACTCAGTCACAATGCAATCCCCTTCCTCCAGCCCTCCAGTCCACCAGGATCCCAGGCACATTTGCACACACCTGGTATGTTTTCAGGCTGACCCTGCTGGGATCTTGAATTGCGGCTGGCATGGGGCTTCCAGTCTGCTGTCCCGTGCATTACCAGCTGCACTGCAGAGGCTGGGCCTGTGCTTAGCTTTGAAATATTCTGTGTGAGTCAGATTCTAATTTAACAGAAGTGTTTATTGCGCCTACTATGTGCAGAGCCCTGCAAGTGCAGGAGAGGCTAATCCCTGTCTTCAAAGAGATTATGCTCAACCCATTCTCTTGAAGATACCTCCGATATTTATTGATCTGCTGTCCTGGATGGGGATGAGCTCAGGAAGAGAAGAGGATGAGTTAGCCAGACTCTGCCTCCCAGGGCCCCACAGCCTGTTGCAGAAGAAAGCTGTATACAAAATGACTCTGTTATGAGCCTGGCCGTAGTAACAGCTCTAATAGAAATTCAAGCAGCGTCCCAAAGTGAACGCTTCACGAATTCGCACATTTGCTTAGGCTGGTATTTAAATTACTTTCCCTCCCCTGTGCACATGGCAGTAGGTAGTCGGGAAGACAGCCTGGTGCTCCCCAAGCTGGTGGGGAGGGGCAGGGGAGGACGCTGGAGAAATCAGCTTGAGATGAACACAAAGCTGCAGATATTCATAGATCGGACAAGTGAGAGTCAGCCCTGAAGCCATCGCTCCCTCTGACTTGGCAGCTTTCTCACGACCATTCTTCTCTCTTCTTCCGTCTTTGTCCCTTCTGTGTGCCCCCTCTTCCAACACCCTCTCCTGCTTCCCCCCGCCTCTGTCTGTCGCTGTCCCACCCTGCCCGGCTCATGCCGAGGGCAGGCACCTCTGTCAGCCTCTTCGCAGTGGTAGTTATTGTGTGTGGCGTGGCCCTGGTGGCAGTTTTTCTCTTTCTCTTTTGGAAGCTGTGCTGGATGCCCTGGAGGAACAAGGAGGCCTCCAGTCCTTCCGCTAACGCCCCATTGGAGGCCCTCCCGAGCCCCAGCTCCAGAGGCAACATGGCAGACAAGCTGAAGGACCCAAACACCCTGGGCTTCCTGGAGGCGGCCGTGAAGATCAGCCACACATCCCCAGATATCCCAGCCGAGGTGCAGATGTCAGTGAAGGAGCACATCATGCGTCACACACGGCTGCAGCGACAGACCACAGAGCCGGCGTCATCTACCAGGTGAGGGGTGGGCCCTCGCTCCCCAAGTCCTGACATGTACACACCCTTTGTTCAGTACTTCAGTGAGGTTCCAGCCTGCGAGGATCAGAGATGACCAGAAATAACAATACATGTCCTTTGATTGAGGAATCTACCAGAAGGCGTGGTCCATGGTGGGTGATTCAGAAGGTGGGCTTCATGAAAGGGGAATTTTTTTTTTTTTTGGAGAGGTTTTTGAGAATGCATGCGCTCACCAGAAAGACAGAGAGAGACAGAAAGCGAGAAATTACCCCCCAGGGGGGATGGTCATGCCACAATCCCTTCTCCTCCATTCTCCTCTCGGGATCTTGGGCACACATGCACACGCACCTGGTGTGAGTTTAAGCCACTGGGTCCGGGACTTGAACTGCGGTCAGCTACATGGGAGTCCAGTGACATAGCCATTACACCAACTGCTGGTCCTATGAAAGGGGAAATTTTGAGGTGGAGTTCTGTGCATATGGTGTGCACTTGGGCTGTGTGCATGTTGGAGGGGGAACTGGGAGAGTGTGGTAGGTGCTGTTGGGTGTTTGTAGGCAAAGGGAAGAACATATGCAAAGGCCCAGAAGCATAAAAATTCATGGTGAGTTTCAGACTTGGTCAGAAAAGCCTTAGCTGGAGTCTGCAATGCATGGAAGATACAGCAAGGGAGTCCTTGCAGTAGAGAGTGAGGATTCTATTAAAACTTCTGGGTTTCCTGCCTGATGTCAGTAGTGTATATAGCATTCTCTAATTGAAAATAGCACCAACAACAAGAACCTAATGATAAAAGCCTATTCTAAATTCAGAAACACTTTAAAAAGATGTGGTACCTGCAAGTATAGGCGAGGAGAGTACTCAAAATTTAGGACTCTTGTGGCTTTGCAATGTCTCTCCAGGCACCCAGGAAGTCAAGCAAGTCTCACTTTTCCCCGCCGTAAGATGGGGCTGAGAATTCTTACAAGGTCATGGTGAGGAGCCAGGACACAAGCCCGTGTGGCAACGACAGCTAACATACATCACCTAATATATCCCTAGCCCTGTTCTAGGCACTTTCTGTGTATTTATTTCACCCTCCCAGGAATCCTGTGCCATTGCTTCCTTTATTATCCTCATTTTTATGGCACAGAGAGGCTAAATAACTTGCCCAAAGTTGCATAGCTACAAAGTGACAGCTAAAATTAACCTATGCATCCTGACTCCAAAGCTCATGCCTGAAATAGAGTAAATGCTCAGTAAACAGTGATGGTGGTGGTGATGTTGATGAAGAGAGTGCCAAACTGAGGGTAAGAACAGCTGGTTCCTCTACTGAAGGCAGAGTCATGTCTACTAGGAAAGAAACCTGGAAAGCAGATAACGGGAAAGCAGGGGAAATGATTACAAGAACAATGACTAACATTTGCTGAGCTCAGTATATACCAGACTCTGTTCCAACCACTGTGCATGTATTAAGACAGGTAATGCTCACAACAACCTCATGCACCAAGTGTGTGCAGAGAAAAGGCAGCCTCTATAAGGAGAAGGAAAGGGGACTTGGACTGCCAGGGCTGTGTCTGCCTGCATCCCCCTTCCTCCAAGCCCTGACCACTCTCTGCTCCTTCTTGCTCTCAACCAGGCACACATCCTTCAAGCGCCACCTGCCGCGGCAAATGCACGTCTCCAGCGTAGACTATGGCAACGAGCTGCCGCCAGCGGCAGAGCAGCCCACCAGCATTGGCCGCATCAAGCCTGAGCTCTACAAGCAGAAGTCGGTGGATGGCGATGACGCCAAGTCTGAGGCCGCCAAGAGCTGCGGGAAGCTCAACTTTAGCCTACGCTATGACTATGAGAGCGAGACCCTGATCGTGCGCATCCTGAAGGCCTTTGACCTCCCTGCCAAGGACTTTTGTGGAAGCTCTGACCCTTATGTCAAGATCTACCTCCTGCCCGACCGCAAGTGCAAGCTGCAGACCCGGGTGCACCGCAAGACCCTGAACCCCACCTTCGACGAGAACTTCCACTTCCCTGTGCCCTATGAGGAGCTGGCTGACCGCAAGCTGCACCTCAGTGTCTTTGACTTCGACCGCTTCTCACGCCATGATATGATTGGGGAGGTCATCCTGGACAACCTCTTCGAGGCCTCTGACCTGTCCCGGGAAACCTCCATCTGGAAGGACATCCAGTACGCCACGAGTGTGAGTACAGCTCTGTCCTCTTGACTTCTTGAGGATTTGCAGTTCTGGGATGGGTAGATGTGAACCTAACCCTCTCAATCCCTAGAGACAAATGAGCCTTTGCTCATCAGGACTGGAGAGGGACTCTGGAGACTACTCATTGGCCCAGTGCACCCTGAGGAAGTCCTTGCACTATGCTCAGGTAGAGGTGGAGGTCAACAGAGGCTCCATGTGGGTGGAAAAGGAAGGGGATTTTTATCTATTGTTTCTGATCCTGTGTGTCAGAGTAGTTTTTACATGGCCAACTTGGATTTGCATCTTGTGAAATCATGAAGGATTGGGCCAGGCTCACAGACTAAGATAAGAACATGTGAGGGCTCTGATACTGTGTATTAGAATCTTGGAATAAGCCATCTAGAACAGGCTCTATTAGTCAGGGTGAACCAGGGCATGCTGCAACAACAAACAATCCTAGGATTTTGTGGCATAAGACAACCAAGGTTTATTTCTGGACCATGTTACCTGTGCTTGGCAGCATGGCGGGAGCCCCGCTCTACCTTGTTAGCAGGGATCCAAGTCAACAGAGCCCCCATCTGGACATGTGCTTCCATGGGTACACATCAAGAGGGAGGGAATGTGGCAAATCACACACTATTTCTTAAAGTTTTCTTGCAGGAGTGACACATGTCACTTCCACTCACATTGCATAAGTCAAAGCTAGACATACAGTGACTCCTAATCTCAAGGTGGCAAGGGCAAGCAATCCTACCACGTGTCCAGAAGGAGGACCACAAATACTCAGTAAACAATACCAGTGACTACACAGCAGAGTCCCTTCTCTCAGCATTGTCTTCCTAGCGCAGTCTGGAAGAGATGGGGAGAGGAGACTGGTTAATCACACATGGGAGGTGAATGCTGGGCTCTTCACCATCAGCTGGAAGTAATCATGGAAGGGCTCATGGAACTTGAGGCTTGAGTTGGCTTCTCAGAGAAGAGCGGACATATTTGGCACAGAAAACCAGGGAGGGCCTATCCGGAGCCCTGGGGTACGGGCAGACAGTGTGCTCCAGTCCACTGGGCTTTGTAACTAACCACGTCCTGCCAAGATAGCTGGTGTAACTCTCACTGAGCCAACCTGGGCAGTGAGAGCCTTGGCTTTTCTGCCAAGCTCCAACAGCCTTACATCTGATGTCTTGAGTGCTAAGTGGTGAAGGGTCTCCCTGGATTATCTCTTGTGCTGTATCTCTGGGGAACAGTGGCCCCACTCTGCCTGCAGACCTTGGACAATCAATACACAGTCCTTTTGTATCGAAGATGTGAGGAGAGAGGCTGGGAAAATCAGCCCTTCCCTGGTGGGCGAAGGGTATAACCTCGACTTGTTCAAAGAGAAAAGACATGGTGGGCTCTGCTGCTGCCCCAGGAAGGGTCACCCATTCTCATAGCTGGTGTCGACTAGCCAGTTCAGCCCATTGTGCCTCTCCTACCTTCACTTTCCTGAAATGTTACCCCCCAAAACAGCATGAGTGGCAGATGGGGCGGACAGACGGGGTGAGCCGAGCAGCAGCCACACAACCCCAGGCCCAGGAGCCCTACTTCATAAATCACTCTGAAGTTCACATCTGGTGCATCTTTTCCCTGTGGTCTCCTCAGGCAGTGGCTTCTTTATAACGACTGTACGGGTAGACAAAAGCAGCTCAGTCCTCCTCGCAGCAAGCTGTGCTCAGGGGAAGGGGTATGAGGCCAGGGCTACAGGAAGCAGGACTCGGCTCAGACCTCTGAGGACCCTCATCTGCTCCTCCCCACCTCCCTCTCTGGGGCCTTTGGCTCCAGGCATGAGTGTAAGCCTCATCCTGGGGTGGACAGTCCACGCCCAAACACACCTCTCACCTGCAGGTGTGTCCTGTAGCCTCCAACACTAGCTGTTTCTGCCCTTGTCCCATCCACTCTTCCCCAGCCCGGCTTCCAGCAAAGGCAAAGAGCACCAGACCAAGAGCCACCATCCTCATCCTCCTCATCAGTCAGGTCGCTATGGTCCTTCTCCATTTCCTCCTCCTAAGAACTGTGCAGGCCCCGGGGGAGAGTCTGGGGCTCGGATGGAAGGCAGCCTCTTGAACCCACATGCAGTAGCTGGCAGGTGAGCCAGCAAGTCCACACTGTGTGCGGGAACAGGATTCCTGAGAGCAGGGCAGCCGGAGGTCTCCAGCGATGAGGGGATTTAAACTAGGTGGGGACGGACTGTTATAAATGACTGGGTAGGCCAAGCGGAAGGGGAAGCAATCCATCTAGTCCGAGAGCCTCCCAGAGCTACAGAGCCGGGGACCATGCTCGCGCCCCTTGTCTTGCTTGTAGCCTGTCCGAGCAGGGCGTTCCTCTTCTGGTGAGTCTCCTGGGACCCTCCAGCCTGCAGCCTCACCAGCGGGCTCTGCTCTGAAGAGCAGCCTCATCGCCTGGCAGCCAAGGACTCAAGTAGGGGTGGGGGAGGGATGCAAGAAAGCTGGTGCTGTTACCTGTTTTATGATTCTGGCTGTAAAATTTTAACTAGGTTGGGGGTCAAGGAGGCCTGAATTGCAGTCCCCGGGAATATCTGAGTATCCAGTGTATATGAAATCCTACAGCCAGCATGGCGGGCAACAGATGAGTGCAGCCAATAGTCAGTTTCCATCCCCCATGAATGTCCCATTCCATTCCCAGAGCTGCACTTGGGACTCGAGCTCGGGCCCCCTGAGCCAAGCTGGTCCCTGACATGCCTGACATCCCTGCTTCTTGTCTTTGCTCACAAGATTGCCTCTGTCAGGCAGGCCTGTCTCCACCTCTCCGCCCAGTCCAAGCCAATCCACCTTTGAAAGCCCACCTAAGATTGTTCTCCATGTGGCCTTCCAGTCTCACAGCAACAGCTCCCTGTGTCCCTCAGTCTTGTAAAATCCTCCCAGTGGCTCAGGAATGC